CTTCTGCCAACCTAGCAGTTCGAAAGCATATAAAAATGCAAGTAGAAAAATAGGAACCACCTTTGGTGGGAAGGTAACAGTGTTCCGTGCACCTTCGACAGTTAGTCATGCCAGCTACATGACCACGGAGACTTCTTTGGACAGCGGTGGCTCTTCAGCTTTGAAACGAAGATGAGTACCGCCCCCTAGAGTTGGGAACGACTAGCACATATGTGCGAGGGGAACCTTTACCTTTAATGTTGTATACAATTCACTGGCCTAAGTGCACAAGTTTTGATATTGCTTACTTATTGAAGTGTTTGCACCTGTTCAGAGGTTTTCCTAATTTGACTTGCCCCAAGTTTAAATGTTAATGAATTCTAAATGTGGGCTGTGTTTGATCACTTGATAACTTCTATTCCTTTCTTTCAATGTAGGCCCATCCGGCAGTTTTTCCAGGGCATCCCTGGTTGATGCTGACAGAATAAGCAACAACCACTGGAATAGGAAACAGAGGAGAAAAACTGAAACTACTTCAGACATAGTAGATGCCATTTCCCAAGTGGGTGACAGACTGGTAAACGCTCTGTCTGATTTGCACTCAAAACACAGCGAAACCTCAGAACTTGCACAGAGTAGAGCATGTGATTCCCATAAAGAGGAATTTACCATACTTGCCAATCATATAAATCAGGCTTCTCAAAACGTGGACAAACTGATTGCTCTCATGGAGACGTCTACCAGGAGGATAGCAGATGCCATGGACAGACAGACAGTTGCCTTGGAGAACCTGGCACAATTGTTTGCTGCAAGAGCACCAGCAATTTCAGTGCCCTTGGCACCCCAGGAGCAGTCTATGATGGTGCCTACTCCCAGAATTTGTGTATCAGTCCCAGTAGAATTATACAATACTGTGAACACTTTAACAGGAAATTGCACTTCTAATCAGAAAGCACAAGATTTGCCTGCTGAAGACTGTCAACCAGTGGCAAAGAAAATAAAAACAGAAGACGACTTAATATAATCTGTTCAGAAATCCTCAGATGTTCTGTTCTTCTCTCATAAGATGAACATTTGTCCTTATTTGCTCATTTTTTCAAAGGCAATTGGGTGGGGGAGAAGAAATCAGGAATAGATGGTATAAAAAATATTGTGGCTTCTTTATTTTTTTTAATAAAAAGATTTGTAGCTAGACCAGTATATTTGTAGGGGGATTTATATATAGTTTGGAAGGACGAATGCTGCTCGTTAGATGAAATTGTACGGTTCATTGCCATTCCATTCTGTAGATTTCTGTTCTGCTGCTTAAGCACGCAATAAGCTGTTGTCCTGTACACACTTACTTGGACATAAAATACTAGGTTTTATTTCAGATTGTGATTGTGGTCAGGATGTTGGCTTTGGACCTGAAGAACATATTCAGTAAGCACAGCCATGAACATGTGATGTTTTTAGTAGATTATACTGAGGCACAATTTTTTGATCTCTAGATGGGTAATACAAAATTACATCATTTAGTCATTCAAAGATAAACCATTTAAAAAAGTTGTAAATCATGCACATTTTCACTGGCATAGAAGATAAGAAAGAATAGAGAACTCTGTGCTATAGTACTCCTGTTATTAAATCAATAAGATACCCTACTACTATTTGGCTATTTTTTTCTCCCTAATTTCACTGAAGCCACGTGCCAGATAAATCAATTAGCAGCACAAAATTTTATCCCTTTTTTTTTAACATACACACTTTTCAATATTATTGTGCCGCTTTTGGAAGATTGCAAGCCAACCCTTCAAAGCCATGTTCATGCCTTTTGCACTTAGAAGCTGAAATGAAGCCAAATGCATTGGGAAAGGAAGCATAGGAAATTTCTCACTTAAAGCCACTTCACTGTAGTCCCATGAGTTCTATGTGATTGAAACTCTTGTCCTGTGTTAAAGATGAGAAAACTGTGTCTCATTAATTGTTGGACACCAGTTCCTATCAGCAGCAGCCACAACGTCCCATGGCAGGGCATTTGAGGAGCCAGCTTTCTCACCTCTGGACTGAATTCAGCATTTGTTTCTAATAGCAGCAAGCCAGGTATCTTGGGCAAATCACTAGGAATGACAAATACCTGACTTCTGCGGTGGATATAAAAAATCGATACACCCGTTAAAATGCCAGGTTTTTGAGATGTAAAAAAGTCAGACCAAGATAAATCACTTGAGAAATATTTTTGACCTTTAATATAACATGTAAGCTGTACAATTCAATTGAAAAGCAAACAAATCTTTTGGGGGAAATAACAAAAAACTAACAATTATGTGATTGCATAAGTGTGTAAACCTGGCATTTTTAACGGGCATGTAGACTTCACAGTGCTGCTTCACCTAACTATTGCAGAGCCTCTTCATTTTTGGGGAGAAAACCATTTTGTGATTCAGAGAAATAAGTAAATTTAATCTATCATCCTTTAGATAACAGAGCCATATTTAGTACATTAATCTTGTGATTAAAACAAGATAGGTAAACATATTATTTTCAGATATTTTGGGTTACACCCGCTGTCTTTTACTTTGGATTTTGTTGGTTAAGGCTAATGGGAATCAGGCCAACAACATCTGGAAGACACAGGGATGACTATTCCTGACTTTCCTCATAAATAGGGAAGTCATTAAAAGCTGTTTCTTTTCTGAATTTGGAAAATTCAGAAAAAAATTCTACTTATTTTTTTTACCAAGTGACAATATCAAGGCCTAATTAGTATCGGGGGGTTTTCCAGACAAATAATCCAAGTAAAGTTATCTCTTCACTTTTGTTGTTCCTCTTTCAAATAAGATGCCAAAATTGCTTTCAGAAATTTGGTTCTTTTTGAGGAATATAATGCAGTCCACTTCTTTTTCCTTCTACAGCAATTTGGTTATATGTTAGGCCTCTATTCCAAAAAAAACCCTATTTAGCAATACTATGATAATTAGATATTGTCCACTGATGGAATTTTTTTTCTCATCAGCCTGTTGCCTGATGGGGATGGGGAAGATCATTGCTTTCCAAATATGTCTCTCAGCAGAGTGCATCTTCATTTTTCCTCTAGCATTGGAAACTTTTTGAAAATCAAGTTAACATATATGAAGGAACACCTTCAAATGTAACCCAAACATGAATTCTGTAAGACCATAAAGATGAAATACATTCATTTTAATATAACCATTCAAAAGCTTCTACTTGGATGTTGCCTCAAACTTCTTTGAGCAGGCCATTTTTGTTGCACTTCAGGTGTGTGCAGATTGTTTAGAATCATAGTTGACCTTTAATTGAGGGTTCCTCTTGAAGAAGTGATGGGAACAAGGGAAAGTAAACAAGTCCCTTAAGCTATAGTAAAATGAAGTGAGTGTACATTGGATATGATTGCATATATTCTTTTCCTCTGTCACCTTAAAAACCACAATTTGGCAGCAATTTTTGGAGACATTTAGTTGCACACAGAGTTGCAGGGCTACGTGTGGTTCTGGGGTTTGGGATTGGGTACGTTTGATTAGAGAAAAGTTGGGAGTTATTGCAAAGGTTGCAATATAGTGTAGAATGTTTTTCCAACTGGTTGTTTCGTTTCCATCCTTTGTCCTCCAGGTATTTCCCTCAAGACTTATTTATTATCATGTGATGAACGGCTGATATTTGATACCTTGTTTGCAAGGCAGGGAGAAAAGGGGCTGCCTTTCTTGTTTTGTTTTGGAGGAGTGTTTGCCTTACAATTTGTACTTCTGGAAATATTAGGTTACCCTTCCAAGCGTGATGATTTCTCTCTTGGGTTTGTCATTGGTTTCATGTTTACTATAATCTTGTTGGCACTGACTACTTGAATGTGTTATTGGAGAGAGTAAGAGCTGTGGGGCTGGGGGTGTTTCCTGGTAGAAAAAAGAAAAAAATATAGCATATAGAGAGAGAAAATAATATTGTGTGTGTTTGTGCACTCGTGTGCTATAATTGTTGCTTAGGAATGGCAGAAAGGCAAGAAAGTAGGAGATGATGGGCAATGCATTTCAAATATATAGCAATAGCACTTAGATTTATATACTGCTTTACAGTGCTTTTTCAGCCCTTTCTAAGCGGTTTACAGAATCAACATATTGCCCCCAACAATTTGGATCCTCATTTTACCCATCTCAATGGGTAAAGGATGGAAGGCTGAGTCAACCTTGAGCCTGGTGAGATTTGAATTGCCAAAATGCAGGCAGCCAGCAGGCAATAGAAGTAGCCTGCAGTACTGCATTCTAACCACTGGGCCACCATGGCTCACTCATAAATATACAAATACCATCAAGGTCACTTCTATTTTAAAAGTGTTATCTTTTTTTCTCCTCAAGTGCCTATGTGTAACCAGGATGTGACATCTATTACATAAACTCAGGGTTATACATTTCCTATATATTTATATAATAGTTCTCTATTTAGCTTTTGGTAGCTTTCACCATTTTTGTATGCCTGATCTACCAGTAAAGTTGAATAGTAAAAATCAAAATAAAGTAGCAAATGATAGTTTATGAAGATCAGTTCATATGTTCATTCCAAAATAAGTTATTTAGATAATTTTGAGTTTTGTTGTACATAGACATAATGCTTTGTAGGACTATGGTTTCTAGTATGAGACAAGTTAACTTAAAATATGTATACAGGATATGAGCAGAGGAGAATCATTTGAAAACAATTCCATTGCAATTGATGTTGCTTTTCTCTTTGATTTATCAAGAGAAGAAGAGCAGTGACTGATCTAAATACCATTTGTGAAGTCAGCCTAGGGATTTCAATTAAATCTCATAAAAGTAATGCTTCTAAGGAAAGTAATAACATTTAAGTTTGTTTATATTTGGGATATAAGTGCAGTTAAATCTACACACAATTCTCAATGACAGCAGTATGATTTTGTGCAAATAATAATCTACATTAAAGGGCCTAAATTAACATTCTCCTAATAAGTGTTAAGATGTTATTTCATAGCAGTTTATCAGGACATTGATTCAGTTCCATTTCTAATAGCAAGGGTTAATGTAAATTAAATTTGAAAGCTTAAACACCTTTATCAGAACAACCTTTAAATATAATTCAAAAATCACTATTTTAATCCATGTAGACTGTCAAGGTATACGGTAAGCAGACATGGTAATTACAACTTTCCCTGCTGCAGCATTCTTCCACTTTTTATATCAAATTTACTTTGCAGTCATTGTAATGTGCACTTAGGCCAGTTCATCTTTAAAGACTCAAGTCATGGCATTTCTGTAGGTCAATGGAAAGAGTTTCTGTAGTTTATGATCTGGGTGTTTGGGGCTGGAAGCTTTCTCAAGAGTCCTTTTTACTATCCAGTATTGAAAAACAGGTGGGCATATTCTCCTAGCCACTTCAATTGACTGATCTCCTCCTCTTCCTCCTCTTCTCCTCCAGCATACAAGACAAAAGGTGATGTAAATAGCATCCAAAAGTAAATCAGAGTCCAAGGCAAAGTATTGCTCAAAGTTCCAATTTATTAAGAGATCCATGTTGGCTCATCTGGGAAAACCCGAACCTGAAATCTTCCCAGTTTTCTCCACCTAGTTGAAAGTTCAAGATCTTGTCCTTATACCCACAAGTCCATCACATGGTCCAATCTTCCACTTCCTATCTGGCAGTTCCACTCATCCAGTTCTGGTCAGGTGCAGAGGTATAAAGGCAAAGGATGACCTTGGCTTTCTAGAAAGAATTTTGTTATGACTACATAGTATCAGCCCCCAGGAGCACTTTGCAAGTCTACCAAATTCTCTGCATGTCCATTTTTGTGAAAAACGAGATGTGCAGGGGCAGGGTTTTGGGAGGCCAAAAATGCTGTATTGTGTATAAGACGCACCCAGATTTTCACCCTCTTTCTTGGGGGACAAAGGTGCAGGACAAAGGTGCGTCTTATACTCCAAAAAGAGGGTTCTTAAAGTATTCTCAAGCTGAAAAGCCTGTTTTGGTTGAATCCAGAACAGGACATCATTTCAATCTCATCATTTTCCTTCATGTAGAATTCAGCTAGTCCAAACTAGGAACAGATAGAACATAACCATTGGTGTGCTACTCTTATTACACATCCACAATCCTACAATGTTGAAGAAGATCCAAGGTTCACAACCCTTCAGCCAAATTTAGCCTTTCAGTAGTGTATTTCGGGCTGTACTCCAGCTTTTTTTTAGGATTAGGGCAGACAAAGTAAATAAGGTAAAAAATAAATGTGAGCTGATTTTAAAGTATTATAGCTTCTGTTGCTTCTGATATCTTAAGGTTTTTTTCCCTCTTTTTAAAATTAAAATTTTGGTGACAGTTTTGGGAGGATAATTCAGATTTTCCGGTGTCTGTTTCATAAACCAATTCACTTCATTGTTGACTTCTGATGACCTTATGAATATGTTCATGAAGTTCTCTTGTGAACAATACAAAAAGTGGTTTGTTGGTCCATTCATGATTTTTTTTAAATTTTTCAGTCTACATATGCTTTGCTGACAAGATCTGCCTAGATTCCAAGCCTAAACAAGATCATCCAGTACTATCTGCTGAGATGGTTCACTTTGTTAATAATGAAATAGATTACATAGTTGTTTTCTGGCATACATTATTGAAAAAATAAGGATTAGCTACATATCTTTCTAGATACAAAGTGTTAGTCCAGTAATCTGATGAACATGAGACAAACTATGGAAGAACACATAGTTGACTAAACCTAACACCTTACATGTCAAACAATCATTAAATGTACATCGTAATTGCTTAACACATGACTAATGATACCTTAATTAAAAAGCCATGTAGAACATTTGTTTTGCAAACATGTTTAATAAAAGAGATCATGCAAAAATGAACAAAAAGATGTTCCATTCCAGACCAGCAAATAATAATGATGGGCAAAGAACAGCTGGGAGGACATGAAAATGAGACCAAAAGATCAGTTACTAAACTATTCATTCTAAATTATGTAGGCATTGTAGAAGACAATTATCTGATAATAATGTTCCTGAGTTGAGAGGGAAACAATCTGTCCTATTGTTTCCTTTCCAAACATGAAATAAAATTTGTACGTAACATCTCAATGTTCTTAATCCAGGCTCTGTACATTGTTCTGCCTAATAATGTAAGACAAGAGGTGGGACCAGAGCATCCAGCTGTTCATTCCATTTC